CAAAGTGTAGATTAATAGTGACAATTCAGGCATTCAGCCCTCACTCCCGCTGTTGTGAGACGGTGGGGGCTTCTTAAAGACACAGTGTCCCAATTTGTGTAAACTTCGCTCAAGTTCAAGTTTTCTTTTTTTCAGGGGCCTTCAAAGTTCAGGCCTCGCAATGCATTTTCCCCTCAGATAAAATGATTTTTAATTATTGAATAAAATATAACAATTCATATAATTTTAGAACAATTATATTTCTATATTTGCATCATTTACTCTCGTTTTTGTTGCTTCGTGTGAATTAGAAAAATGGATTTAGTCCAAAAAAATTGTTCTTTCCATTTGCAAAAGATCACATAAAATGACACTTCTAATTTTTTTGTTCCCTGCCTACTGATTGGTGTTATTACATTACCTTATTCAGTTATCTAACCACAAAAAAATAGGTTATAATGAGTTTTTTATGTGGTAAATGGCCCCAAAACTGGTGCTCATGGACTACTAAAGTTTCTAAAAGTGGTCTAACCGGTTCTCAGCTGTTTGATTATAAAATGACTGCTTTAATTTGAAATTTTCCACAACTAATTTTGTTCCTTCTTGTTGTCTGTTCAGTTGATTACAGGGCACAGTTCACACTCAAATGAGGTCAAAGGTGCCGACACAGCAAAATTTGTCTGGCCCAGTTCTGGCCCACAAAATGCACTAACACTCTGCTCAGCCCAAATACTGAATGGCGACCCTTTGATTGCCCAGATGTAGTTTGCCAAAGGTGGTCCATGCATGGGCTTGCACCCCAGGCATTGGCAGATTTGGGCCGCATTAACCACACGAAAACTGGGCCAGTTGTGGCACTGACAGATTTGAGTCACATAAACAAAAGCACAATCAGGCCAGTTGTGGCAACAAACAATTAGGGACACATGAACCACACTGTGACTGGGCCATTTGTGGCATTGACAGATTTGGGCCACATAAAGCAAATTACAAATGGGCCAGTTGTGGCACTGACAGACTTGAGTCACATAAAACAAACTACAAACGGGTCAGTTGTGGCACTGACAGATTTGAGTCACATAAACCAAAGCACAATCAGGCCAGTTGTGGCAACAACCAATTAGGGACACATGAACCACACTGTGACTGGGCCAGTTGTGGCATTGACAGATTTGGGCCACATAAAGCAAACTACAAACAGGCCAGTTGTGGCACTGACAGATTTGAGTCACATAAACCAAACTGCAACTGGGCCAGTTGTGGGAATAACAAATTACGGCCACATAAACCAAATTACAAACGGGCCAGTTGTGACATGCCTTTTTAAATAAGCACCATCATTGCCAGACCTGGCCCACATCTGATTCACGAACCACTTGCCATGCCAGCAGTGCCAGCTTGACACCAGATCTGGTCCACACCTGTCTGCTATGTGGGTGTGTTCTCTCGGTACAACAAAACATTTTAAGATCTCTTTAGAAAAGATATAGACAAGAAAACATCGGATATAACTTGTAATTTATTTATTTATTTAGTTTTATTGCTACAACTTTCATGTTCATGGCTTTTTGATTTCTGTCAGCTTTCCTCGATCGTTTCTTCATTTAACTGACTGAAATCAATTTTTAAAATGAAGCTTGGTGAAATACATCAACATTTAACACAATTACTCATTTTCTTTTCATGATCTTGAATCTTTAGGACATTTTGACAAATCCAACCCACTTTGAACACCAGTTTTGATGAAACATTTTATAATGTATCATTAGTTGGCGTCATCTAATTATTATCTGCAAACAGCCACTACCAAACAATTCATGACAACACAAATGTTTCACTTTTTGGGTTAATGTTAATCAGCACTTTGATTTAGAAACAATAAATCACTTTTTGCTCGTGTACATATTTATGTCCAGGAACGGCGGTGACTCTTGAAGGTAAAGTATAAATCTGCATCGTGTCTCTTTAAGAGTGTGCCGAGAGCTTTTTGCAGAGTTTGTGTGTGTGTGTGTGTGTGTGTGTGTGTGTGTGTGTGTGTGTGTGCGCGCGCGCGCTTGCATGCATGCGTGGACATAAGCATGCATTTCGGTGTACGTGAGGGAGAAAGAAAATACATTTCTGTGTGTCTGTGCTAAGGCTTGCTTTTTTCACACAAGGACACAAACACCTGCTCAGATGAGCAGACATTTTATAAAAGAATAAAGGAGCAAAAAGGACAGAAAACAGGCAGAGAAGAAGAAGAAGGAGCATTATTTTCACAGACCAAAAATTTCTCCTTCTGCACTAGTTTATGTCACACGCATGTCCTGAATGATGCAACAGATATATGTAAAGGCATCCAGCAAGTGATATGTTAACAATATGCAGTGGTAGACATGGTTCTACTAATCAGCTAACAGCTAATAGCAGAACAATTTTTTGTTTAGTACCTTTTCACTAACTTTGACAGCAGTTAGCAGACCAGTTAGCTTCCACTAAATTAGGTTTTGGCAACTATTAAGTAACAAACTAACATCAACAGGTTTGTGTCAGTCCCCTATATCTTCAGCTTGAAGTAGACAAAAACAAGTGATGCTGACAAGAGTGACAGTCATCTTAGCAGTTAGTGGTTAGCTGTTAGTGTTAACTTCTACCAATATTTTTACATGCTTAGCAGTTTAGTGATAGCAATATGCTTAGTTTGCAGATTATGAATTTAATGTATGTATGAAAACTTCCACATATTTACCGTATTTGCTCACCTTTCATCAGTTTGGTATCTGTGTTAAAGCTGACGTTATCCACCAGTTCATCTATTACTATTTAGGATTCAGTGGCATATAAATGTGATTATTCTCTGCATAATATTAAAATAAAACACTGTATTTGCAGAACAATTGTTCCAAGGAAAGCAAGTACAATGTGAAAAAACCTGGACTAAAGACAGAGCCTTGAGGAACGCCACAAATAATTGAGATTGCAGGAGAAGATAAATGACACACACATTCTGTTACTCACTGTTTAAAACACAGATAGAAAAAAATTCATCCAAATTTTATATTAAAATATGCAGCTCAGTTGGAAATTCTGTGATGATTTTAGCAGTGATACAAAATAAAACATGGACAAAATTTAAAAATATATATTTGGAACATTCTTCACAATACTAAGTTAATTTATTTTTTTTAAATACTAAGTTTAAACAGATCACACAAATTTGGACTTTACCTGACTGAAATGCCATTTTGATATCTTTTATGAGTTATTTTTTTTACACAAATCACAATTTAAATTTTATGACTTTTGAAGTTTTTTTTCCATCTAATGTTCAGCTGATCATGTCATACTTTAACATTTGAATGATGCAACATTTTCTAATATTTAGCAGACAAACTTCTTTCAGTTTCACAGATTTTTTAAATTAATTAATTAATTAATTTATATTTTTTACTAATTATACATCATAACCTGGACAATCTTGTCTTCAGTGTGTTCTTCATCATCAATGGGACTAATGCTTTTGGAACAATCCCCCTCAGAGAGGGCACAGCCAGGTGTCCACATCTTTATTTAGAATATTGTCTTTAAAATCAAAATTGAAGGGCGTTTTAACTTCTTATCTCCTAACTAAAACACTGTATAAATGTTTTTATGTGTGACCATCGAAGTCTTCTGCAGCTCATGGTGCAAATGTTTAAACTGTTTTTGTGGTTTTCTTCCGTTTGTTGTGTTTCTTCAGGGAGTGAGACACGGTTAGCGTGGTGATTTAGCTTTTTGTGATATTTAGCATTTGAGAACTGTTTTCTTTTTGTAAGTATTTGTAATACTGTATATTTCCTGACTTATAATCAGCTATTGCTTCTGTTTTTTTTTTTTTTCTTGTGCCATTTACCTCCATTGCTTATCAGAATTAGAAGGTTTTAGCAGAGGGGGAAAGAAAGAGAAAGTGATAGTGCAAGCATCCTATATGATCTGGACCACAAACTCTATCACTGTCTTATCATAGCACCACTATTGATCCAAGAACCCACAGATTCCTGAACACCATCTCTCCTTCTGCACAAAGACAAACAGGAACAGTCCGAGCTTTTTCTTCCCTTCCATTCTGGTTCCTCTGTTTCATTAAATATAAAGGTAATTTTTAAAACTTTAAAATACCCATCATTTACCTGTGATTTCATTACACAATTCATATGCATTTGGTATGATTTCAAAACAGTAATAAAATCTGAATAAATGTTATATACTGCATCAAAAAGTGAAAGAACAGTGTGTTTTTGCTCGATTCTGTTTGCTCTCATTTGTCAGTTGTGTAAYCAAAATATAGCTAACACATCATATATCAATTATGTGCTACCAGAGGTCGGCACAGCTAGCCAAAAGGTTAGCTTTGCTAACTCATAAGCTGCWAACCAAAACTATTTCTTGTCTAATGCTGAACGGATCAACAAACTAAAACAAGATAGAACTCGATGCCAACCGTTGCTGATGATGCCCCCCGTCGCCATTCAGTAGTGARCGACTGTTGCAGCTTTATTAGAATCATCACAGGACTTCATTATTTAAATAATCTCATAAGGTGAACAGACGGACGGATGGGGTGAGGCTAAAGTGATCTTGTCAAACTACTAAACAAACATGCTGAGCAGGTCTCCCTTATGATGCACACAAAACTTGGTTCAGATCGGATCATGTATGAGTGATTTAGAGCCAACCGTCAACAGCGTGATGTCTAATTAGGCCACGCCCTTAGAAAATTGGACTGCATTCCTGTAGTGAGGTGGWCAACCATAGTGAATTTGGTGCAGATTGGCTGAAATATGTGGAATTTAGAGCCAAATGTTAGCAGAAGCTAACACTAACAGCTAATCGCTAACCACTAGGACAACAGTCTCAGTCTGTGTCACGTCTTRGTCTCCTTCCAGCTGAAGGCTGGTGGATCTGAC